TTAATATTCGTATATTATCTCAAAAAACAAGTTAAAGTTTCGTTATTTATGATCATTCGTAATTTAATTGCTAATGCGTGTTTTTAAGGTGCTTTGAGATCGAGGCAACGTTTCCACAGGATTCCTTGCTCACGGTACAAGTTCTAGATTGGGATCTAGTCGGAACGGACGATATGATCGGGGAGACTAAAATTGATCTAGACAATCGCTTCTACAGCAGACATCGCGCTACGTGCGGACTCGCAAAAAAATACGACGAGTAAGTCTAATGAGTAGCAATTACGACGTGCATGGCAAATAAATTTCAGGCCTTAGTGCAATGAAACAATCGCGTCACGCAATTCGGTGATCTAACAATGCAGCGACTTTTATCGCATCAGTAGCAATCATTTGTTTAAACTAGCGGATACGAAGAAGAAGAAATACTTACGTGTAAAGAATAAAATACGTGCTGTGATTTACTTTAACAAGTTTTCTTAATTAAAGATTATAAAACTTTTACGCCGCAATTCTCCTTGAATCTAATTTTAATTTAACTCTCTTTTAAACATATGCACATTACAATTATGAATAGATAATATTTTTTCACTTTATAGATTACTAAATTAGGCAAGAATTGCTAACAGTGAGATTATTATCGTTATCCCTATAAAATATTTACAGCGTTATTACACGATTCAATCAATATTTTTTAGGCCAGTGGACCTACCTGTATTGGCCATTCATTTCTCCTAATTATTATTTCTGATGCAGAGCATAATTTTACGCTCATATACGATCGTTTATTATACATCGTTGAATTTAATTTTGCCGTAACAACATAAAGCCGAGTTATCGATCAAAATACTTTCATTATTTTTCTAATAATAATATATATAATATCACTTATATAAAATTTATAATTTATAATAAAATAAAATTCTTTAAAAACATTCATCATATTATATAGATCATGTAATTAATCGATAACTTGGATTTGCATCAATAAAGTAAAGTATTTTCATATGTCACACTACATAGATGGATGGAATACAAAAAAATTAGGATAATCAACGTTTGGTAAAAGAATAAATTATTTTTATATATAACAGTTGTTACTATATGTAACAATGAATAAAACACAAGCGCATTCTTTAAATAAAATAAATAAGTAAAATAAATTCTGAATTGAAATTCTTTATATCTTCTTTAATTTATACTTTAATTTACAATTGTATGCTTTAATTATGTATATTATGAAGCCATCTATCAAAAATTCAATCTAAATAAGTTTGATTTAATTTATTCTATAGTCCATCCATTTTGACGCAACGAATCTACAATTATCTACAATCTACAACTACAATCTATAAATTCGTTGCCTCAAAATTAAATAAAAAATCTTACTCACCGACACCGATGTACAACAGCGGAATAGTTGATGTTCCAACTACGTTGTCTTAACATACAAATAAAAAATCTAAATTATAACAGCGTTCAAATTATAATTATTATTTCAAAAATTATTGAATGCGCCAAACTTTATATTTGGCACAAGAATAATAAAGTATATATAAATATATGTATATAATCAATAATTTTATAAATTAAAAAAATGTTTACTAGAACCTTATACAAAATATATTCACATAAATATTTATATATTATATCTCTTAAAAAATTACATAATATCTCTAAATTTCTCTTGTTTAAATTGATCAATAAATGAACTGAATTATGCGATTTATAAAAATTAATATTTAAACAATGATACTCACCTTAGAGTTGCTCCGCTGATGCTCGATGCCTCATCCAGGCCTCCTCCTCCTCTCAGGGTCAAGGTCGTAGTTTGTTAATTAACACGTGCTTTTAATGGCACTCCCGAATTTTACGTTGCCTGTAACAAACAAATATAAAATCTAAATTATAGCAGTGTTCAAATTACTATTTCAAAAAATTATTATTAGACGCGCCAAACTTTATAGCCTACGTTATTCAGAAAATCTAAGATCTATCTATCATGAAAGATTTTTTTCAAATCGGTTTAGTAGTTTCTAACATTAGATTACTCCGAAGAATGAAACAAACTTTACCTCTTTATACACTAATATAATATATTATAGAATAGATATAGAAGTATAGATATACATATATATACATATATCAATATATGTCAAAATAAGACTCAAATTTGAGAATGCAAGTAAAATGTGATGTACAAAATTAATTAAATGTTTTTTTGCTTTAGGACTGATATAATAAATGGAGAGACGCGATGAAACCGACTCAGATACTTTCAAAATTATGCAAAGATGGTAAAATCGATGGACCAGTATATTCTCACGGACGCGTTACAATTGGGAGAAAAACATTTTCTCTTTCGAACGAGGAGATGGAATTTTACGTGCATACGAAGGGTATGAAGAGATTTTATATAAGAGAATACAAGATTCTAAATTAAATTCTAAATTAATTAAATTATATAATATTTTTATTACTTATACATTTTTTCATTATTTTATATATACTATATATCTTTAATTTGTTAATCATTATATTATACATATATAATATTAACTGTATATTTGAAAGCTCTATTAAACATACATGTATATATACAATATATTATGTATAATTAATGGAGCTTTTTTTGCAGTTTCGACTACGTCAACATAAGATTTTTTTCGATCATTTTTCCAGGAATGGAAGAGCACCTCGCCTTAGCAGTTCTCCATCATGGAACAATTTTCCACGAATAGGTTGCACTCTGGTACCAGAGCACGTGGAAACTCGACCGCTCTATAATCCGGAAAAGCCCGGAATTGAACAGGGAAAATTGGAAATGTGGGTGGACATGTTTCCAATGGACATGCCTTCACCCGGACCATCCCTCGATATTTCACCCAGAAAGCCCAAGAGTTATGAATTGCGAGTTATAATATGGAATACAGATGATGTCGTCCTGGAAGATGACGCCTTCTTTACTGGCGAGAAGATGAGCGACATTTATGTAAAGGGGTAAAATCCTCCGTCATAAAGAAACGAAATCTTACATTCATGTTCAATTATTTTATACATCATTTATTGCTTTTCACAGATGGTTAAAGGGACCGGAAGATTGTCAATCCACCGATATTCATTACCGATCATTGACCGGCGAAGGAAACTTTAATTGGCGTTTCTTATTTCCATTTGATTATCTGGTAGCGGAAGAAAAGATCGTTATTAATCGTAAAGAAAGCCTGTTTAGTTGGGACGAAACCGAGTGCAAAATACCAGCACGCTTAGAATTGCAGGTAATTTCGAACAATCGTTGTTTTCTTCGCGATCTCGTCCTGAGATAGATATAAGAATAGGACGCTCTTTACAGGTCTGGGATGCAGATCATTCTCCGCAGACGATTTTCTTGGTGCTATAACTCTCGATCTTAATCGATTTCCTCGAGGAGCGAAGAATAGTAAGCTTTGCTCGTTGAGCATGCTGAAGACGGACGGCTCTGTGCCGACAGTTAACATCTTCAAACAGAAACGTATAAAAGGCTGGTGGCCCTTTTATGTGAAGAAAGAAAATGAAGATATGGAACTGACTGTAAGTTGACAATTTTAACATAAAAATAAATCTAAAAAATATTAATGTATATATGTATATTTATAATATGCTAATTATACATAAAGAGATATCACTATCACACATACACAAGTTTATTAAATAATTTTAAAAATAAAGCTATTAAAAATATTATCTTAAATTTATTAAAAAATATATGTATAAATATTTTATATGTTTCATCAATCATGTATATATTTTATTAAGTATCTCATTATACGTTATATAGGGAAAGGTTGAAGCTGAGATACATTTGCTTACAAAAGAGGAGGCCGAAAAAATTCCTGCTGGTTTTGGTAGAAACGAGCCAGATCCACTGGAGAAACCAAAGTTAGTATAATATATATGTATAATAAGCTTTTATGTGTGTATCTTCTTATATTTAATCTCTTTTTATTTTTCATATTTTTTGCAGTCGACCAGACGCGTCCTTTATGTGGTTTCTCAATCCGCTAAAGTCCATCAAATACATAGTTTGGCACAATTACAAATGGGCTATCTTAAAGGCTATAGTCGCGATTGGTTTGATTATACTTATGCTATTATTCTTTACGCAATACCCGGTTACTCTGTGAAAAAGATCTTAGGAGCTTAAATGCTGTTTGGCGCAATATATAATTGCTATTTTCGGTACGTAGAGAACAATATTTTGAACAATTTGAAGAGATATAAATAAGAACAGTATTGATATATTGTTTCAAAAAATTAACGTAAATTAATCTATCATCAGATCGATTTCTTTAAATTTCCTTTAATAATGTGGACTTATGAAAATTAAGATTTTTTTTATAGTGATTAAATAAATGGACATTAGAGTTTATAATCAATGGATCTCAATGGATCTCAATTAATGATTCAGGATCTTTCTCTAAGCTCTAAGCCAATTTATAAAAGAGTTGCAATTGAGAAATATCCGCTTTGTATAAAATATCAAAGTAAACAAAATATTTTTCGAAAAAAATAAAATTTATCTCTCTTGCATTTTGTTTCATATTATAATTGTTATAGAACAGTAGATTATTTATTAACATAAAAATATATCGTTGTAGATAATTTTAATGATATATACTTTATTCCTATTGTGCAACGATGTAGCTTATCGTAGTTAAAAGAAAAATTCTTAATCAGTTTATAGTGGACCAAAGTAACACCAGAATAGTTGCAAACTAGAATTACATTGTAATAATTCATACGCACATAATTTTGAAACATCTGTGGGAAAACGAGAAAAATGTAATAGAATAATGGCTTGTACAAAAATGATATATTTTTACTCGTAATATTCTGTCATAATAATTGTGTTTCGCGGGCGAAACAGAAAGAGCCGATTATTCTTCTTATCATCAGCAGATTGCTCATTATATATTAAGAAAAAATATATGTGTGTAAAAAAAAAGAAATAAAAATACAAAATCTAAAATGCATAAAATAATGAATCATTTTATTGTTCTGTAGACAACGCTGAAAACTTATTAGCTACAAACACATCATTTTCTTCACTCGACGATTCCGTAGAATTATTCGTTGCATCTCGAGATTTTTTTTCTTGCTTTTCGTCGTAGGTTTCTTCGTCTTCAGAAGATATGTATTCTGTTGGTATATCGAGATCATCTCCTTGGTTTTTAGCTTGAATCCATCTTACTGTATCAACATCTGTATGATTTTCCCATTTTTCTAGAAAAAAATTATTTGCGTTTTATTTATTTCAAACATCATTTCTCTCAAGTACGTCCTTAATAATTTTTAAATTATGAGTGTAGTATTTTTAATAATATATTTTATTAAAAATGTTATCAAAAAAATTTTTAATTAATAAAAAGAATAAAGAAAGAATAATACCTTTATCCACAGTCCAATTCGGCGGATATATATATACGCAAATCTTTCCTTCTACCGCCATTCGTAGTAACGAATTTGCCGCTCTATAAGTGTCCAATCTAGCTGCTCGGGCTGTCACAAAATCCCTTTTGATAGCCCAAGCATCACAGATATCCATAGCGGACCACGTATCATCATTCTCTGGATGAGAAATGTTTAACAATTTTGGCAGATCCAGCCTTTCAGCCAAAAACTTTATGGTCGTGTACGGTTCCCTAACTTGAGCGATCGGAAATGAACCCATTAATATTTGCAACTGTTTTGGCACAGTTGAAGGAAAGACTAAACCAGGACAATCACACAAGCATACGTTTTCCGTAAGAAAAATGGTTTGAAAATGTTTGGTGTGACCGGGTGTGCGAGACACACTCACGACTTTTTTACCTGTAAAAAAAACAAAATATTAGAAATCCATTCTAACATATCACATTTAATATTAAATATAATCTTTTAATTTTATGTCTACAGCTTAGAATTAAATGCACTCAATATAGAATATATATAATTAAAAAAAATTGAATTGAAAAATCTTGTATACCCATCAATGCATTCATCAAAGACGACTTTCCAACATTCGGCGTTCCAATGCATCCAATAGTCAGAATTCCGTTTATATATTTTTCGTGTTTGAAGTAAGTAGTATCTTCCTTCTCTATCGTTATATTATCTTTATGATCTATGTCATCTAGATCATACTCTAAATGCATTTCTTCCTGAATTTTTTATGCCAAGAACTTAGATCAACTTTGTCCTTGACAATGTCTTTACAAGCCTCCATTAACTTTTGCGCTCCTTCCGCGGCCATTCGTAATTTTCCCTACGACGTCTTTTCTTTATACCTTCGTCATTATTCATATTACCATGAAGATTATAAGTAGGATACGAAGTAAACATTAAAATGTGTAATTTTGGATATTGACTATGAAAGTATTCCTTCCAAGCCACTACTAAGGCTGGAGGCGCTAGATCAACTTTGTTTAGCACCAAAATCATATCTTTTTGCAACTCGTTCGTCACATAGTGGTACAAATACGGAGGAAACATCAAAACAGGATATCGAATATCACAATAATCAACAGAACGTCCGACATCTCTAAGACTCTCCACAATTGCCGCCAAGTTTCTAAATTTAGTTCAAAGTAACTGAAGCTACCTAATTCTTCCATGTTCTTTAAGTATTCCTAAATACAAAGAATTGTACTGTTAGCTAAAAGTAAATTTAACATAAGCTAGGATTTTGTTTAACACAGATTCGCATACTGTGAAATATCTCTGTTCTCTTATATTTAAATGCTCTTTCGTCATATTAAAATCCCATGGAGGTCTCCTTGGCATATCAATCCCAGGTGGAAAATAATTGTCAGAAATTTCTTGATCCTTCAGGCTCACAGGTTCAATACTTTTTAAGGCTTGTTCCTTGTGCTTTCTCAATTCCTCATTAGTCTCTTGAAAGAATTGTAGCGCATATCTATTCCTTGAAGATTTGCTATCTCTTGGTTGTTTATTTATCTTTTGTACTTTTACTTGTCTTCTATGCTCTACACTGCTTGCATTGCTAGAACATTCATCTTCATTGTCATCTTGATTTGAAACTAAAATTATAAACATACATATTGTTTTATCATTCATCAAAGTGATATGATTTCATATAGTTAAAATAAAATTATTAAAATTAAAGTGTGTAAGAGGAAATATATTTTAATATTCTAAAAACAAGTAAATCTCTGTCACCCTTAATTTACAAAAATTTGTGTAAACCTACATGTGATAAAAAAAAGAAAGAAATAAGAAGATTTTATCAATAAAAGAAAGGAAGATAAAATAAAGATATGTATATATTTAATAAAGATATTGATACATACCGAGCAAAGTACGTTGCCGTTCCTTTTTAGCTTGCATTTGCAGTTTCTTGGCCTTTCCACTGAACGGGGTTTTTCGCCTTCCCTGAGGCATGTTTTCACAATTTTAACTTCTTTACTTTTCCTAAAGTACTCAACTCACAATCGAACACTAACAATAAATGTCATCAAATATAATCGAATGTGATTTATTTATCAACTTGTTAGATTTAATTTTATAATTAAAGCCACTTTATATTAATACTAATATACTAGAAAGTATATTAGTCATGGTATAGCGATTCGTCAAACGACAAAAATCTGAGTAAAATCTATCAGCTAATCGATCTAGATTATCTGATAGCGAGATATGAAAGTAAACACATGTAAAGAATTATATAGAGAAATTATAAGGAAAAATCGACTAATCATGAGTTCGATGTATTATTCATGGAACTCTTTGATTGGTCAATCTAGCAAAAACCCCTATGAATTGCTCGCTATGATTGGTTTCGAGATGTAAAACCCAGATTAATAAACAGATCGCCAAGGTCTGGATGAAGGAGAGACCCGCATTTTCTCACTGATTTTCAGCGCCATATCGTAGTAGTGGTCAATGCAGTACTATTACTACGTTCCCAGACACAGATTAATAGACAGATCGCCAAAGGCCTGCCTAAAGAAGAGACCGCCATCTTCGTGCGATAGACTTTGCCCCTTACCGACACACACTTTGCCCCTGGTTCGAGTCCGTGCTAAATTTCGTAGACTTGAACCAAAGACTTTGCCCCTGGTTCGAGTCCGTGCTAAATTTCGTAGACTCGACCAAAAGACTTTGCCCCTGGTGCAAGTCCAGGCTAAATTCGTTTGACATTACCAACAGACTTTGCCCCTGGCGAATCCAGGCTAATTGATCATGAGACCAATTTGAGAGATTTGGCCCCCGTTGTGTGTGTGTGTGTGTGTGTGTGTGTGAGAGAGAGAGAGAGAAGAGAGAGAGAGAGAGAGAGAGATATTTCATATATGCATATATATATAAAAATTTATTAAATATAAAAAATATATTTTTTACACATAAAATGTTTTTTATTGAAATAATCACGATTTTAAATGTGATATAACACAGTGTTCAAAAATTTTTTAATTAAATTTTTAATTAAATTTTATTAAAGAAAATTACTTGAAATTTTTTACATTAAGAATTTAAAGGCTCCTTATTCTCTTGTAGAAATTTATCACTACGCCAATTAATCACTTATTTTGAGTATTTAAAATACTATAATATACAGTAATTTAAGTATTCGAAATAAAAGTGATTAATTACTCGAAATAAGTGATAAATTGGCGTTACTAGTAATAAATTTCTATAAGGGTTGAAATAAAGTATAAGAGATAAATAGGCTATATGTGAGCCGTATGCGAAATGTGAGATGTAAGACGCATATTGAAATTTAATTTTTCGATATAACTTTCAAAAATGTACACGAGGTACAAAAAATTAGCTTGGACATTTGTAAGACTTAAAATTGGGATTAATTCTCAATTCTATTATTAAATTTCGATATAACACACCTTACATCCGCGCACGGCTCACATATATATAGCCCATTTATTAGTGCAATTTTTAAGTTCCTTTTTTTTCAAAGTTCACCTTTTTACGTTATCAAATATTTTTACGTTTTCAAGAATTTATATTTTTACTTACCGCAGTTTCTTATCCAAATGTAAAATCTTTTATCGCAGTCTATAAAAAATTGAAACAATTTACAATTTTATGATATAATATTATTATTATTACAATTTCTATATATATGCACATCTGTCAAATATCGTGATTTATTTCACATTATTATTATCTATTTTTAATAAAAAAAACAAAAACACTTGCAACAATCAAAAATAAACCGCCTGCCGCGAACGGAAAATGCCAAGAAAGCACGCAATTTCCGCGAATCTCGTAATTTTTTTGAAAAATCAACAATTTCAACGAAATTGTAATTCTTCAAATCACTGCACAAGTATAATTCACAATATAATTTTCAGTAACTACGATAAAAAAATCGTATACTGAAAACCGCAAACGAAAGTGCAATGGGAGTAAGAGTAAAGTCTGTGATAAAATTAATTGGCAATAGAAATTAATAATTTTCAAATAGAAAAATTTGAAATTACCGAGGATTTACAAATAATAAAGTAAAAATATTAAATAATTTATGTGACTTTGTATAGTGAACACATCAACTTTGGCGGAATCTTGACTACTCATCAATTTAAGTACATTCTAAACACAATTAAGATCTTTCACATAAAAAAATAACTTATTAATATAAATTAATATACCAAAAGAATAAAAATATACTTAGACAATCACGGTGAAATATACTGCAATGACGAACTTACTCGGAAATATCCTTGATGATGGGGACTAACTTTTGATGCTGGATAACATCTAATTGTTTTCAATTCTCATATCAAGCGGTTCTGACGATAATTTTAACTAATAATGTTCAAAAGAATTGATGACGTGGAATGGGCCGTCAACCTGTTCTACTAACAACAGGGAACTCGTTTACATGTTTTTTGACATAATCAAAAAGTTTACCATCTTAACTAAAAAATGGTTAGCCGATTAGAAAAAATATCTAATTTAATAAATGTTATAAGCGTAACCCAATTTAAATTTATCGACTTATTAAACCAAAATGTTCATTAAAAAATAGACTCTAATGCGTAATATGTCATAATTTTTCTTAAGAGAATTTTTATTGTTTTTATATTTACTGAAGAAGGCTGAGGTAACAGCCGAAACGTTTTATTATTTTTATTATCATTGTATCTACTAAGAAATAAATCAATTATGTGTTGACATTACATCTCTCACTAATTTAATATGCTCGTTATAGTTGGCCCTGTCTTTCTAAATCTTATTTTATAATATCACACGAGCCTTGTCTTTAAATATCTAATTGTTTTCCTTATTAAATTTAAATAATTTATGTTTTCGAATTTTGCTCGCGGAGAGGATCTTTAAAACAAGATTTTTAGAAGAGAGGACCTTTAAAATATAAACAGGCAAAAACGTTGGAAAAATTAAAGCGCGCGTTTAAACAGATAAACGCAATGAAATAAATACGCAATTGTTTTTACTTATCGCTGTAAGCTCACAAGCTTCTGACGTGCTATACACTTTTATATAATATATACAAGGTGTCCGGTAACTAACGGACCAATGATTAAGGGCGGATTCTCTGGCTAATTTGGAGACGATTTTTCCTTAGCAAAAATGTTGAGAAGTCAATAATTTTCGAGTTATAAGCGATTGAAAAAAATAGGTTTTTTGAAAACTAAACGTTTTGGAGTTAAAAGTCTAACATAATTACATTCTTCAGTTAATTTCAGGTAGAGTTTACTATAATAAAATTTTAATTTAAGGCTTAGTTATAAAGATACATAATGACAAAGATTGGAAAGTTGTAAAAAATGATGACCTTTTTCGACATTTTGCTGAGGAAAATCGTTCCCAAATTGACCAAAGAATCCATTTGTAATCATTGGTCTGTTAGTTACCGGACACCCTGTATATTGGACACGAGTTTCGTTTGTTTCAGATTCTCGAGAGTTGAAGTAGGAACATACGAGTATCATATATCGTTTGTGACTTGCCGAATGAAAGCAAGACAGAGAGCGAACGAGATGATGAGCTTAATAGCTCATAATGTTATAAATAAATAAATAAAAAATTATAACCTGACCTACTAGTTATTGAATCTTTTTTTAATAAAATGTTTCATTTTATTATCATCTAAGTCTAAGTCGTTTAATTACTTTTTAGTTTTTTAATAATTAATTTAATTTATTCTAGTCATTTTTATATGAGAAAAATAATATCACGTATACGTTTTATAATGAATTAATATATTTCGGGAACCGAATTATATATTCTTAATAATATAAAAGTGTTCAAAAATTATATTTAACTTTTAATTTTAATTATTTTATAGCAAAGAGTTTCGAAATCTCTTACACACATAATGGGGATTTTTTTTCATCATATAATTCGCAATTAAGTATATATGTTAATTATTAATTTTAATAAAATAAAAATTAAAATTAAAGGTCAAATATAATTTTTAAACACAAATATATTAAATTAATTATAAAACGTATACCTATGATAGTATTTTTCTCGTACAAAAATAATTAGAGTAAATTAAATTAATCATAAAAGATTAAAAATTAATTAAAGAATTTAAACTTATATTTTATATAATAATAATAAAACATTTTATTACGTCAAACCGTCGTGAAATAATTAAATAAAATTGCTTAGTAAAAAAAAGTTACGTCAAAGTCAAGTTTTCTAAGCTTATAAAACATTTTATTAAAAAACAGATTCAATAAATATAAGTACATGTTATATATATACTTATATTTATTGAATCTGTTTTTTTTATAAAATGTTTTATTATTATCATATATAATATAAATTATTTAATTATTTTTTTATTTTTTTATGAGTAATTTAATTTGTTCTAGTTATTTTTGTACGAGAAAAATACTATCACGGGGTATACGTTTTATAACGAATTAAATATATTTATGTTCAAAATTATATTTGACCTTTAATTTTAATTTTGTATTTTATTAAAATTAATAATTAACATATATACTTAATTGCGAATTATATGGATGAACAAAATCTCTATTATGTGTGTAAGAGATTTCGGAACTCTTTGCTAAAATAATTAAAATTAAAAGTCAAATATAATTTTTGAACACTTTTATATTATTAAAAATATATAATTCGACTCTCGAAATATATTAATTCATTATAAAACGTATACGTATTAGTATTTTTCACATATTAAAATGATTAGAATAAATTAAATTAATTATTAAAAAACTAAAAATTAATTAAACGACTTAGACTTAGATGATAATAATAATGAAACATTTATTAAAAAATAATTATAATAGGTCAGGTTAATATTTTTATTTATTTATTTATTTATAACATCATAAAATTCTGTCCTTTCCGAAATACGCGAACGCTACGAAAAGATAAATCTCGTACATGCCGCCGGACGAGTTCATGAGCATGAGACGCTCTTATCTTTGGAACGTATTAATAGTTACTGCATTGACCACTACTACGATATGGCGCTGAAATCAGTGAGAAATGCTGGTCTCTCCTTCATCCAGACCTTTGGCGATCTGTCTATTAATCTGTGGACAGATCGCCAAAGGCCTGCCAAAGAAGAGACCGCCATCTTCGTGCGATAGACTTTGCCCCTTACCGACACACTTTGCCCTGGTTCGAGTCCGTGCTAAATTCGTAGACTTGAACAAAAGACTTTGCCCTTGTTCGAGTCCGTGCTAAATTTCGTAGACTCGACCAAGACTTTGCCCCTGGTG